CTAACTGATCAAAAAAGTAACTCTAACTGTACACAACTTCAAACGTCTCCTAAAAGGGTCTTTAAAAAAAGCAGGCAAATCACATGTTATGCAGTTTTTCTATTAACATTAGGGCTGGTGCCATTTTAGACGTTTATATAAGCAAAATTATCTTCCCAACATTTTTTGTTAATGCACCAAGATGGATTTAGACTACCGTTTTTGATGTTTTTATCCCTTTTCTCTTGTTTTGCTTTGCCAGGCTGATCTGGGTTTATCAATTCATTTGGGTAATTATTACGTATCTGCCCGCTTTAAAGAACCCCCTAAAAGTATTTCTCCAAACAGACTTTTTATTTTTCTGATTATATTTGTCATACACCATGATGCATTGTGATCGACAATTATAAATGAACAAGATCAAAACATACGAGAGTTTGCTATTATATATAAAAGTATAATGTAGTGTATAGAAAGTATAATGTAATATGTAGTTAAATAATGTGAATGTAGTACAAATTACATAATTTTTGAATATAAAAGAAAGAAAAAAATAGTAATACTTACTCATTTTATTGTATTAAACACGAAGCACGTAGTATAAAAAAACAAAAAAAAATAGTACTTAAATAAAGCAAACGCAGTAATATAGACAAATACGTTACCTTTTTTTAACAATCCATAAATATATACAATGGTTATGCTTCCTCCTCCTGTTAGAGAATATTCAAGCCGTGATGAATTGATAAAGCATGTACGAAAATTTGGTGCAATGAATGGGTATGAAATTTCTATCACAAGATCAAAGTCGAATACAGTATACCTAATTTGTGATCGTGGTGGAAAGTATCGAAATCACTTAAATCTCACTAATGATACATATAAAAGAAATACTAGTTCTAGACTTAAAGATTATGATTTCTCTCTTCATGATAGTAAAAGAGAAAATACATAGATTTTATCTATTGATAACCCAGAACATAATCACGACCCTTCTGAAAGCCCTTTAGCTTACCTGTCCCTTCGAAGATTAAATCAACAAGCTTTAGAACAATTGAATACAATATCAAAGGCTGGTATTCGATCTCGACAAATTTTATCTTTCTTTAGCCAAAATGATTCTTCAGTTGTTGCAACATCACGAGACATTTACAATGCTCATAAGAAACTTCGTAATGAATATCTCAAGAGATGAACGTCTATTCAGGTACTTTTAAATGATCTAAAAAAGAGTCCATTTAGTTATAATTATAAGTATAACTCTGATGGACATATAACGCATTTGTTTTTCGCTTACAATAAGTCTATTGAATTAACCCAAATTTATTCTATCATATTATTAATGGACTGTACTTATAAGATGAATAAATTCCATATGCTGCTACTCAATATTGTTGGAGTAACAAGCTTCAATACGACTTTTTATTCTTGCTTTATGTTTCTAAGAAATGAAAACAAGGAGGATTATATGTGGGTGCTTAGAAGAGTATCTCAATTGTTTGATGGAATTGAAAAGCCGAAGGTTATTGTTACGGATCGGGAAATGACACTCATGAATGCACTTCAAGATGTATTTCCAGAGTCAAAAAATCTTTTATATTTATGGCACATAGAAAAAAATATCATGAGTAAACACAAAAAAAATTTTAATACTGAGGATGGATGAAAGGAATTTCTTCAGAGTTGGGTAGGAGTCGTGAAGTCAAGTACGGAGGATGAATTTACAACTCAATGGCAAAAGTTGTGCACCAATTATAGTGAAAATTCGGAAATTGTAAACTACCTTCAAAACATATGACTACTAGTCAAAGACCATTTTGTAGAAGTGTGGACTTGCAAACACCTTCATTTAGGTAATACAGCGACCTTACAGGTAGAAGGCGCTCACTCAATATTGAAGCAATATCTTCAAGTCTTAACGGGAAATCTAAATACAGTGTATAAAAAAATATTACTATTGCTCGAAAATCAGTATAATGAAATCGAGGCAATGGTGGCAAAAGAGAAAACACAACTTTCACATGAACTAAATATTCCATTTTATCATGAAGTGATTAATAAAGTATTATTTTTTTTTAATATTATTTGGATCATTGTGATATTCATATTTTATTTTATTAATTCTATCTACTATATTTTTTAGATCTCTTCATTTGCATTAAGAAAAGTACATGGAGAATTTATAAAAGCGTCATCTGAAACCTTTATCAACCCTTTGCCATCATGTACTGGTAATTTAAGATCAACAATGGGTTTACCATATGCACACACAATCAAACAATATTTGACAACTTATCGGTCACTAAATCTTCATGACTTTCATCTACACTGGTGGATTGAAAAAGATATGTTACCTCACCAAAATCTAGCAGAGGATAATCAGATTAAACCACTTCTTGAAGAATTCCATCGAAAATACGAATCCTGGTTAGTTCCACAGCAGGCAAAGGCTAGAGAAAAGATTTTGAGAATTATTCAAGAACTAACAACCCAGTTATTGGATCCAACTATAGTACATACAAGGGGACGGCCTACTGGATCACGAAATAACATTCAATCTTCTACCCGAAGAATCCCCTTAGCCTTTAAGGGTAGGGTGAAGAATCTACATTTCTAATAGTAATCATGTTACTAAATTTTTTTACAATAACATTCAATTGAAATCAGGTGATGATCATATGTTATTTATATTGTGTAACTTAGGCAAATTTTGTGCAACTTAGGCAAATCAAAATAGTAAAAACATATGAAAATCGATTTTTACTATATTTGTCAAGTAATTACTATTAAAAATGAAGATCGTTCACCCTACCTTTAAGAATGAAGAATTAAGAACAACAGGTAGAAAATGTGGTGCATGTCATAATGTTGGTCATAATAGTAGAACTTGTTTGAACGTAATTAATAGATAGATGATTTAGTGTAAATTGCAATTACTTTTATAAATCAGTTTAATCAATTAATTTCCAACATTTTTTATACGCAACCTTATATATAACACAAACATATTTTACATATAGAGAGAACAATGCTTCAAAACTTATTGCTGCTGTGTAGCATGAGTTGCTATCTTGCTTGGTTATTCAATTTACTTGCGCAAATATGTAGTACAAATAAAAAAAGAATTTAATTGAAAATTAAGGCTAGACAGAGCCAAAAAACCAACTCTCTCCAACGATCACTTGTACCAACCAGTTACTGAAAGCAAGTAGAAGACTCAAGACCAGAAGTAAACAAATAACTTGAAGTTTTCTTACTACGAACTGTTGTCGACGAAGTTTTAAATGTGATACACTGAGGAGCGGGCGTTTTAGACGGTTTGCAAAGGGGTCAAGCTTGTTTTTGTCTTTTTGTCGCAGGTGAACTCCCTTTTGCATTTGGCATCCAAACCAGAGGAGTCTCTGGGAACAGTAAATAGAAAGAAGGCTCAAGTTAATTTGGGAACAGAAGGCTATGAAGAACTCTTAGAACAACACTTTTTGGTTGGAAACCTCGCAAAACTACACTTTTCTTCCGCTGTTTTCTTTTTTCATAATTTTCGACAAAAAGTGGAGGATTTGGCTTACTCCCTCCAAAAGATCGGCATTGTTTACTTTTCCATTTTCAGAAGGTCTTGAGTTACAATATGACGAATGAGGAATACAACAATCACGTGTAAGGAGGAAGTTCTATTTTGGGTTAAATTGAAGTATGTGGAAGTCCTGTGTTAGATCGGCTTTGACTGTACAGGAATGAAGGCCTTATGCGACAGACCCGAGAAAGTAGCTTCCAATGATGCCGGTAGACCATAGAGAAGACCTCTGTTTAATCTCGTATAGTGAAGAGGCAGGCTTAATAGGAAAACTGTTAGAGGATTTTGTAATTTGGAAAGAGCGGCTCAATATAAATGGAACTGACGATCACGTGTCGAAGCCTTAAAATCGGCGTTCTAGGATTCGAAGTGGATTTATAAGAGTTGTAAACTGGAGCAATATAACAAAGATATGCAATATTCCGAAGTTATATGCATATAATTTTTAGTCCTTAGCACAGGTTAAAGTGCATTTTAATTCATAGTTTCTTTTTTGTCAGATAGCTCTATGTATAGATTTCTACGACCATGTAGATAGTTTTTTATCTGGTTAGCAGGTTTTTATATCTGTGTACAAGTTCTTCTAGATTTTAGAATAGTTTTTTAGATTCCTTTATAGTTTGGTC